ATTGTTACATATCTGCAAATGCAGAGAGGCCTGCAGACAGCTTATTACTCCTAAGCAACCACATTTTCAGACTGGTGAGCCAGGTCAGAGCCAGCAGCTTTACAGGGCCAGATTTGGACCTAGTTAGTTTGTTCTGTCACCCAGCTCCTTCCGGGGCACAAGCAATAGTATCAAACTCCCTAGCTATCTGCAGCAGCCTATACTGCAGTGTAACGAGATCAGGTCCACAATACCCAATGCCTGCTAGCTGTCACATGGGCACAAGGAGTAAGATGTCTGATCCATATTGCCATAGTCCCAGGACCATCATCAAACCCTTCTGAGTTGGGAACAGGAGGCCTCATTCTTTGGTCAGTTCTTCTTCCCTATGAAATTTGCCTTTGGGGGTGCCACAAAGTTCAACCTTACACCTAATGTTGTTTAATTTGCAGATACTGGGAGCAATTACCTGGATGTTGCAATATTTTAAAATAAATCAAATGTTCACCTAATTAATTTGACTGCTGAATAAAGGGGGAAATGAGAAAAAAGTTAAAAATATAAATATCATGTGTAAAAACTAACTAAATAAATGGTGATGTGAACAAGGCACTGCAGTTACGTGAAGCACCAGAACAGGTGTGGAAAAGAGTTTGCAAACTTTACTCCCTGACTGCCCTTACATAGGAAATTTGAGTGCCACACAGGCCTCTGCAGTGTTGGTGTCATGATCTGTGCAGGACTGGGAGCAAGGCCTAGTGCGGCCTGGTCCCAGGAGAGACCAGTGTGGGAGTGGAAAGTAGACAGCCTACAATCCCCATAATGCTTAGCGAGGGTTATAGCCAATCAGTTTCCAGAGATTCTGTGAGGAGATTCTGACTTAAGCTGTTAACTGTGAAAAACGGTGTTCTTTCTCTCAGAGCTAAACTGAAGGGGACTCTGTTCTTTTGTTTCTCACCTGCGATCTGGTCTCACAGAGGGGACAGGCTGGTCTGGTGAGAGAAAGATCCCTCACTTGGCTGAGAGTGAGTACAGGTAGCGTAGCCTGGCAGGCTGTGGACCTGGAAGTAGTAACCAGCTAAGTGGACTAGGTACTCGCGTTAGGTTTGTGTTTATTTTGCCTTTTAAACACTGTTATATCTTTTAAAGCACCTTGTCTTGTTTTCCTTGCCCCAGTACTCTGTTAATAAACCATTTTGTTTAATTGTTATCTGCCTGGTCATCATGCCTATGTTCTCGGCTTAAAAGGGGGGCATTTTGGATGGGCTTGGGAGGGTAACCCTGGGCCTTCTCGAGGGACCCGAAGTCCAGGGTGGTGGTGGCGGAAGGCGGCGACCCCCTGGGGTCATGACAGTTGGGCAACACAAATCATAGAGTAGGAGTGAATAAACAGAGGAGGCAGGATAATTTGTCCTGGCGCTGATTGGCCAACCTCCTGATCCCCCCCCCCAAATTTCAGCTTCTTCGTTCTCTTACCACTGTAAAAAACAAACAGGAAGTAGAACCAGGAGAACAGAAGCTCAGCTGTTGATATATGAGATCAGGATACTGCAGTGCATACAGGGATATAGAGCTTGATGAAGAAATAGAAACTGAGGTGTTTTACCTGTCAGAGTGGAAAGGAGAACGGGATATGGGAGGGGAAATCTTGGGGGGAAATGAGCTCCTGTCTCTAGTTCCAGCTCCTGCCAACCTAGCAGTTCGAAAGCAAGAAATTGCAAGTAGATACATAGGTACCACTTCAGTGGGAAGGTAACAGCGTTCCGTGCGCCTTGGGGTTTAGTCATGCCGGCCACATGACCACGGAAACGTCTTCGGACAGCGCTGGCTCTTCGGCTTTGAAACGGAGATGAGTACCGCAACCCTAGAGTCGGATTCGACTGGCTTTCGAGCAAGGGAATGTTTACCTTTAAGGGAAGATACTGTCCAGGAAATAAACTAATATGTAGCCAGTATTTTTAGGAAGTACTATTTAGGAAGGTTGGTGTTTGCGTTCAAATTTCCCAGGTTATGGACTAATTTGTAATCTTAGGTTAGTCATCTTCTCCATTTTGCCTAATATTCTATTTCCAACAAGGGCCAAAAAAATGCCTCTGGAAAATATACAGAGCTTGGCATGAGGGCAACACCCCTCACCTGATGCATGTCACCAGCATTTGGTATTCATAGGTATACTGCCTCTGAACATGTAAGTTCCATTTAGCTGTCACAGCTGAGGGGAAGGGCTTCAATTAGCAGTGCACCATGACTTTGTAAGCATTTTATTAGAAACTGACTATTCCAGCTACTGCACCACTGAAAAGGAGAAGCATCTATATTATCGGTTTAAGGAGGAAAAAACCCAGAGAAGACTAGCATGGCTTCTTTACAGCAACAGAATGTATATATACCATGAGATTTAAACAAAGCAAATAAAAGCCCATCACCCCTACAGCAAAGCAAATGTCCGAGCATCAAGACTACTCCTCAATTGCACTACACAGAGACTGCCTATCATGCTTATGTTACCTGGGACCATAAATGTAACAGAACCTGAAAAAGAAGAGGTAGGGTTTGTTTCATGGAACTAGCTACTTACTTCTACCATTTAATCAGCTATCTTAAGATTAAAGCCACTTTCTGGGTCTTTAGTGAACCCCAAAACAGCATATACATGTAATTATTTATATACCAATAAAACTATTTGTCATCACAAGCAGCTCCTCATCATAGGCCCCGGTCACACGGGCAGGAAACTGCAGAGGAGAAGCGTGGCTGTTTGCCCTGGGGCAAACTACTGCGCAGTTACGCGATCAGACCTCCTGTGGAGGTCCTGTGGAGGTACCGTGGAGGTTCCATGGCAAGGGAGAGGTGCCGATCACAGGACAAGCCGGCGCGCAACGAAGAAGCGCGCGCCGCGGCAAACTGTTTTTTATTTTTGTGTACATGACAAATGCGCATGCTCCGTTGGGTGCGCATGCGCATCCACAGAGACTTGGACAAAAAAAACACACCTTATTTGCAAGGGGACATGGGCGGGCGCCGGATGCCACCGGAAACGCGATCAGACGCCCGCCCTTGCCCCGCAGTTTCCGGAAACTAGTACCTCCAAGGTACTAGTTTTTTGCCACGCAGTTTCGGCTGGAAGCCTCGGTTGAGCCACGGGAGTGCTACGCTTCCCAGATGTGCTGGTGAGATCGCGCCCGGAAACTCCGCCTGTTTTCCGTCTCACTTGTGTGGCTTCTGTTCCGTGTGACCGCAGCCATAGATAACTTTCTCACAAATCATTTACCTGAGAACAATTACACGCTTATAGGCTCGCTTATTACGCTTATATGCTTACTCATTAGTGAATAAAGTCAAGTTTAAAAGTGATGCCAAGAATGGTTTTTAAAAAATACCATCACCAATACCCTTTTCTGTACAGTTTTGTTTAAACCAGGTTCCGATTAAATATGCACGCAGTGCTGACCAGCTGGTACTGAGTACTCCTGTGTCACAAATCCTACCCATGCCAATGAAGCCCTTGTAATCGCTAGTGACCAATGTCCCCTCTAAGCTGTGGAATCTTGTGAGCAAAAATTCTGCTTTGTGAGTGACTGGCATTAAAGTTGTGAGCAAGTGATCACTACAGACCATTGGTACACTAAACTATGGGAATATCCGATTGATGACAAAATTGCTGAATGGTCCACCCAGCATAATCTAATCGAAAGCACTCAAAGCCCGATGAACAAATGGAAGGTTTTGCTAGCTAAACAAAACAGGTTTATGATGCACAGGCCACGTAATCCTTGGACAAATGCCTTGCCACTATACATGTTTCATTAGGTTAAATTGCGGGTTACTGATATTGTAAAACCTTTAGTTTTGTTGTTAGTTATCTTTTAGTTTGATGCAGCTATAGTTGTTGTGTTGTTTGTCAACAAGAGACTGTTTGGACAGTTAACTTCTCCTTTTTGTTGTTACGGTATCAATATTTTTAATTGTATGTTGATATACTGTAATAAAATAATTTTTTTTTAAAAAAAGTGATCTGGCTATTGCATAAATCAGTTTGCTCTGGAGCCACCCTTCCTGAGTGAAGACAGAAACGTGTGAGCCGGAGGCTGAAAAACTGTGAGCTAGCTCACACTAACTCAGCTTAGAGGGAACACTGCTAGTGACTAGTGACCCTTTTAAGTATCAAGATGGGAAAAGGAACACCAGACAGGTATGGTATGAGAGTTATCCCCCCACACAACTCCCACTGCCGCCTTTAAACCACACAAAGGGTTCCTGGAATCTCAGCACATCTATGTACATCTAAGGCCCCTGCCACACAGCAGAGGATAAGTTGCTCAAAGCGCAGCTTTTAAAAGCCACACCAAAGTTGAGACGCCGCGGCGGGACCCCACGGATCCCCTGGGCCGCGGCGCCTTTTCTCCCCGGCACGATCAGATTCCGAGGAGAAAACACAGTTCAGACGGGGAGCCTGCCGAACTGCGCATGTCAGAGCATGCGCAGTTCGGCTAGGAGCCGGGGATGCGCTGGCGATCCGACGGCCCGGCTTGCGGCGCCTCGTTGAGATGAACTACCTAGGTAGGTGGTTCTAAGTTGATGTGCTGTTTCGGGCAGAAGGGCTGGTTTGGGGACGGAAGCACTACGCTTCCCAGATGTTGTGGTGGGATCGCGCCCGTTTGCTGCGTCCCCGAACCGTCCTTCTACCGGCCCAAATTCATCCGTGTGGACGGGGCCTAACATGACGTACCAGGAGACCCACATTAAGTTCTTCCCTTGCTTCAATGAGACTCACAACAGTGACTTACAGAATAATATTAAGGCTGCGGTCACACACACTAAGTAATCCACTTCCAACCCACTTTCAGTGCACTTTCCAACTAGATTTTGTCAGTTCACACAGTAAAATCCAGTTGGGGAGTGCACTGAAAGTGGATTGAGAGTGAATTATTTAGTGTGCGTGACCGCAGTCACTGCTAAGAAAACAGCACAGCACTCGATTCAGGAACCTTAAGGCGAAAGACAGGCAGGCTTTGCTGTACCTTCTGAACGGTGAATGCAGGTGTGCTGGTTATCACTGAGGAAGAATCCATCATTGCAACGACACTCATAGCTCCCCACTGTGTTGACACAAACATGCTGGCAGCCTCCATTGTTCAACAAGCACTCGTCTGTATCTGAAAAATAAGAGACAGCAGGTTTGTGCCTGCTATTTTTGGTCACATGGTAGCCTGTATCAATAATGCATGAGAAGCAAATGAAATCTTGGTAATACTGCAGACACTATCACATCAATATACTGCTTATCTCTACTGCTTATCCACAACAGCCAATAACAATTCTGCCAAAACTCTTTCAGCTAAAATCCTTGTAGCTGCAAAGGAAAGGAAAAAAGAGAAGAACCATGATCAAGAACGTTTAGAAAGGCAAAATGATTTATACAAAGAAAAGCAGCATCAATAGAACAGAGATAATCAATCAGCAATTTCCTCACAGCTGAGTCCTTTTATACTGCATAGAAATACATCAAAAAGTACCATCTCTGCCAAATGGGCCACATGTCTTCCAAGAAGCAATTTTAGGCATCACTGGAAAAATCAGTTATATTTACATAAAATCTTTATTCCCCACACTTCTTAACGAAATCAGTGCCAATTCCGTCATACAAAAAGCTACATATAAGCAATAAGAATATGATTCATACAATAAAAGTACAAAGTCAAAGCAGAGCCTCCTAAGAAGGAAACTCAAAATTTTCCTGGACAGAAGAAGGACATCGCATTATATAAGAGATATATTTGTGGCACCTCTCAATTGTTTTATAAAGTAACGGTAAAGGTTTCCCTTGCTCGAAAGCCAGTCGAGTCCGACTCTAGGGTTGCGGTGCTCATCTCCGTTTCCAAGCCGAAGAGCCAGCGCTGTCCGAAGACATTTCCGTGGTCATGTGGCCGGCATGACTAGACGCCGAGGCGCATGGAATGCTGTTACCTTCCCACCGAAGTGGTACCTATTTATCTACTTGCAATGTCTTGCTTTCGAACTGCTAGGTTGGCAGGCGCTGGAACGAGAGACGGGAGCTCACTCCGTCATGTGGCACACTCGGGTCTCGAACTGCTGAACTACCGACCTTCCAGCCTGCAGTTACAAATCTGACTTCAAGCCCGTCATTTTTTTGCAGTATTTTCTATTTTTACCTCCTACTGGAGTGGCTGTACTTTGTATCTTTCTCCTTCTGCAGGTACCTCGTGCAGTTGGTGGCTAGCTCTGACTGAATGTTCCTTGTGATAGATAGCATGGGCAGGTTAGGGTTTCTCCTGGTGTACCATCCACCTTCTGGGAGACTTCAACATTCATTATGAAGTTGTGTCGTCTGGCTATGCTCAGGACTGCCTGGGTACCACAGTGACCGTGAGATTGTCCCAGGTTATACTTGGCTTTGTATATGAAAAGGACATACGCTGGATCTACTCTACTGTATCAAACAGTATTCTGGTAATCTGTGCAATCCTGTCAATATGCCCTGATACTTTCATAGTGGGTCCTGAGGTGCTCAGGGAAAAATTAATATTCCATGTTGAGAACGGGAAGAGAAGCAAATTGCCCCTGAGAAATCTACCCGCTCCACTCTGATCTTTTACACATATTGCCTGCACATATTCAACCATACCTTCGTAACCTAAGTGCAAGAGGGTTTCTGTTCATTTTTAAATGAAAGCTGAAATTCCCAGGAATCTAAACTCAATATAATAAAGCAGATTCAATACAAAATTCTGTGAGGAAATGAATCAGCTAAAACAAATATCCATGTTCTCCTTGTCTTCACCAAACCACAAGCTGTAAGTCTCCTCCACAACATGCTCTAAGCCATTCTCACTGACTTCTGTCTCTTTGGTGATGTTTTCTTGAGATGTCCACATATGTGACTCCAAGCTGGCTGGCCACACCTTTTTGCTTCCCTCCTGGAAGTTGCCGGCCACAGATGCTGTGGCAAATCTTAGGGTCTGGCACTCAAAACAACTCCAAGCAGCATGCCATTACAAGCAGCCACAATGTTATACCGTATTTGCTCTCAAAATATCCTTGCAAAGCAAGGAGAAAAAAAGGAAGCAATTAAATTAATAGAATCTCAGAGAGAATATGACGCCACGGAGGTCTCAGCGAGTGCGCAGAGTGCCCACCTACTTAAGCGATTACGATTGTTCCTAAATGTTTTTGCTTAGGGGGGAGGGATTTGTTATGTATTGCATTGTATATAACTGCTATGTGAACTGTGTAAATACTGATGTGTGAATCGACTGATTGAGATGCCATGTTGAGCTTCATCCTGGGCTAGGATCCTAATGTAACCTATAGGAGCCCTAGCCCAGAGAGTGCCTACCAATCACGCTGTAAAGCGGGACCGCTTGTGATTGGACTTTATATCTTCAACCTCATAGGTTGTTATTTGTACAGAGGGTGTGGCTACACTAGCCGGGAATGTTTAAATACAGAGCAGCCAGTGCTTGTCCTTCGGCTCGAGTGGTTCGAATGATGGTTCTGGCTGGCGATAGTAACTAAGCTGAAGAATAAACCGCAATTCTTGCTGAATCACTCTCCGACTCTTTGTTAAGCGCACGACTTAACACAGCATTTCTTAGATTGGGTGGAATATGGACAGAAAGATTAGTAGAATAGCAAGGAGGGAGGCAGAGTGCCTGCAGCCCTCCCAGTGCAAAGGAAGGGTTAGGCACCATCTCCAAGGAAGAACTTGGCAGCCCAAACTGTCAAAACAGCAGTATGCCTGCTTGATAAAAAAGTGACGCATTTCACCCATAACTTCCCAAGCATTTTGGAAAGCCATTTGTGCACTGAGAATACGGTTTAGGCCATGAGACTGTACTTGCTTTCTTCCACTCCTATGGCTCTGGCTGTGCAAATATAAACACCAGCACCCACATTTGACAGACGACAAACGTAATACACCAAATGACAGAACCACCTATTCGGTTATTAAAACTAACTGTGCCTTTGTTCTGAATATCAGAGCACTGGTGGATAATGTGAGCGCTTTATACTACCAGCGTTTAGTGCTGATGCAGGTGCATTTTGCAGCATGATCCTTACCAAGACAATTATGGCCATCCTGAGCCAACATGAAGCCATCATAACACATACAGCGATAATTGCCTGGAATGTTGAAACATTCGTGCACGCAGCCTCCATTGAAGTCATTATCACATTCATCAATGTCTGGGGAATAAAGCAAAAGTCAGTATCATGAATGCCTGCCTGTTTGCTAAAGACAGGCCATGACATGATTATACTACATACATGCTAACAGTAACTGGTATCTTAAATCATTCATACCGTGCAAATAAATCAGATTTAAGAAACTACTTATAGACTGTACACTGTATATACTTATACAACAGTATCAAATGCATTAGGCAATTCATACAGCATTCTGTTGATTTAACAGTGCAATACGATGAAGAGTTATTCCATTTTAAACTTTAATTTAGACTGGAATAATACTGCACAGGACTGCACTGTCAGTTTCCTACGTACAGATAGGGAAGTCCTGCCTCTTGGCTACACAATCTTACACTCACCAGCACCCGCTGCTTGCAGATGAGTTTGCTGTTTTGTAGAGAAGAAGAAAAGAACAGTTAACTACCCACGCTATAGTTACTCTTTGCCTTGCCTCCGTTCCTTCTACCTGTACTATGCTCAGTAAACTCTTGCATAAATCTATGGATCAGGTTTAAATCCTTCCTAATACCAGTTTAGCATGCAGACTAAGTGAGAGAAATTGTTATAAACTGAAGATTCTGAGCCTAATTCAGTTCTCTAATATATATAAGCTGAACTCAGTGACATCCACAACAAAGCTAGATCACCTGTCTAGGATGAAGTCTATCATTTGGGGTCGCAAAGAGTCGGGCTCGACTGTGCAACTGAACAACAACCCTCATTAAGCTAAGAGACATCATTTAAGCAACAATTTCAGACACCTCGCTAAATTTCAGCTATAACTTGGAGAGAATAGCTGCAGCTGTCTGGGTTCTCCTGCCCTCCCCACCTTTAAAAAGACACTTCTCACGAGGCTTGCGTAACTGAGCGTGCTAAGGAGCAAACACATCCAATTCTTTTGTAAGAGCTTTCACTAGCAAAGTCTGGCCAAACAGACAATTTTAAAAACATATGGAGAATAGCTCAGCTGAACATTTTGGGGAGTAAATGAACATGTTACTTTTAAAATGCACTTTGCAAACTTGAAGGTGCACATCCAGGGCTTTTTTTGTAGAAAAAGCCCAGCAGGAACTCATTAGCATATTGGGCCACACCCCTGACAGCACAGCTCATTAGCATATTAGGCCACACCCCCATGTTACCAGAAGTGTGCTCATCCAGCCACACCCACCTTTTGCTTGTTATTCTGTTTACCTTCTTTGTTGTCAAAACCCAGGGCCTTTTTTTGTAGCAGGACCTCCTTTGCATGTTAGGCCACACACCCCTAATGTAGCCAATCCTAATGATTTCCTGCTGTTGGGTGTGGCCTATTATGCTAATGAGTTCCTGCTGGGCGTGGCCAACTTGGGAGCCAGCCGGAACTCCGTTCCCGTGCGTTCCTGCCCAAAAATAGCCCTGTGCACATCTATGCAAATTACAATCACACCTTCTAAAGGTAAAGGTTCCCTTGCTCGAAAGCCAGTCGAATCCGACTCTTACTAACTGCCAAATGCTGCCTCTGAGCAGGTGGTCTCTGCAAGGCCTACTGAAAATGAAAATGCCTACCAGTGGGTTTCCCGCTCTCTTTCTCTTCTAAACTACTTGGCACACACACATAAAAAACCCCTTATATCTATTAAATGGGGGGGGGTATAATCAGACAGAGAAAACATACTCCTTTTAAAACCAACCTTTATTTTAATCACACACAAACACAGCGGCAGCACTGGGGCTTTAGCAGCACAACATTTCACTGAATACAGGGAAAAGGTGGTTCTCAAATGCAGCAAATGCTGTCATTTAGTTTCAAAAAACCTCCATCACATATTGACCACCTTGGGCATTTTGCTCCAAGATGTTACAGTGATGTGTACTTGTTCCACTGTGTTCTGTAAACCATCAGAGTCCAGTTACCTTCACATATCTTTCCTTCTCCACTGTAACCTGGCTTACAGGTGCACTTGTATAGCTTTGGTGTATTTTGACAAATTGCATCCGGGTGACAGTCATCGAGCCCTTGGGCACACTCGTCCACATCTGAGAAGAAACAGGTGAGGCATGCACAGGGGTGAATGTGTACACAACAATCAAGTCAGACATTCAGAAACATCACCTGAGCACACAATGAATGGACGGTGGTTACTCAGCTAGATTAGAATACTTACCTGATATGGCTCTTTTTGTAGAAAAAGCCCAGCAGGAACTCATTAGCATAATAGGCCACACACAACAGCAAAACTCATTAGCATATTAGGCCACACCCTGACAGCACCACTCATTAGCACATTAGGCCACACCCCCATGTTACCAGAAGTGTGGTCATCCAGCCACACCCACCTTTCGCTTCTTATTCTGTTTACCTTGTTTGTTGTCAAAACCCAGGGCTTTTTTTGTAGCAGGAACTCCTTTGCATGTTAGGCCACACCCCCCTAATGTAGCCAATCCTAATGAGTTTCTGCTATTGGGTGTGGCCTATTATGCTAACGAGTTCCTGCTGGGCGTGGCCAACTTGGGAGCCAGCCGGAACTCCGTCCCTGTGCGTTCCTGCCCAAAAATAGCCCTGGAACTAACTGATGCAAACCCATTCTGTCCAATCCAAGGGCCAAGCTACATGCAGGAAGGTAAATGGGCCAGACTGGTCCTTCATTGGAGTTCAGCGGGACCCCACCCCATGACATCATCAGATTAAAGTACAGGAGTGCTTCTACAACATGAGGATAAACCTACTGACCTGCTTTAGAGAGGTCTTGCGAATATTACTGAGATGAAACGAACAAAGATTTTTGTACATTTGAAATCTACCCTATAAACCAGACCATCCTAGCTGTACAGTTATCAATAAATGGGTGCTTCGCCAATTGAAGCATTTCACTAGATTCATTTCTTAAAATACAGCTGAGTTACTGATTACATTTTAATAAATTGAATATTACTTTATTATTGAAAAGACCATTTCTCCTTTGTCAGGGAGGTTGTGCCAAAAAAAAACCCCTATCGCCTGATCAGGCTGGTAGTTTAAAGAGAAAAATAAAGGGTAGAGAATTTGGATGGGCTTCATGGTGCCGTGGCTGAAGTGCTGGACTAGGATACAGGAGATGTGGGTCTGAATTTCCACTCTGCCATGGAAGCTCATCTGGGTGACTTTCAGCCATTCACACACGTTCATCCTAAGCTAACTCACAGAACTTTTGTGAGGATAAAATGTTTTAAGGGAGAACGTTCTAAGGCACAGGGATTCAAGGCTATTCGGAAGCCCTTCTGGGGCAGAGCCCACGACACCACCACTCCCCATCAAGGAGCCCCACATACTTGAATGAGCTCTTTAAAAAAATCTTGCGTACCAGCTGGGATAGTAGGTTCTTCAAGGGGCGTTTCCTTGTTTATTTATGATTTTCAATATACATCATGTCATCGGTTTACATTTCTTATTCTTGTGAGTCATATTTATTTACATTGTCTAGCCATACATAAAACATTTTCCATCGTTTTTCAAATATTTCTTTGCTATTACCTTGTATTGTTAAACTTAATCTATCCATTTCAGCTACTGACAAAATTTTATCTATTACATCCTTTTTCGTGGGTATTTCTTCTTCTTTCCATGCTTTGGCTAATAATATTCTAGCTGCTGTGAAAAAATATGTGATTATGTATTTATTTGCTTTACTATATGTTTCTGGAAGAATATTCAATAAAGCTTACATACAATCGGTACATGATTACAATTAAAACATTTAAAACAGGGCTAAATCAATTGACAATAACATAATAAGTGCTAGTATTGTTGTTTATTAGAACAGCGATGGCTGCCATATCAGCTCTCTTCCCATAACCGGCTCGTAGATCTTCCTCGAATGTCTTGCAGACAGCTGGCACAGGCTGTTATTACGAATTCCAAAGGCAACGGGCTTCCTATCCTAGTTGCTAGTGGTGGCAGCAGCTCCAAAAGCCTGGTGGAAGAGCTCCGTTTTACAGGCCCTGCAGAACTGTAAAAGGTTCCGCAGGGCCCTGATCTCCTCTGGGAGCTCATTCCACCAGGATGGAGCCACCACCGAGAAAGCCCTGGCCCTGGTTGTCAACAGCCTGGCCTCCTTAAGACCAGGCTTAAATCTGCCTCCATTCCTGAGGACTGGAAGGTAGCTAATGTCACTCCCATCTTTAAAAAGGGTTCCAGAGGAGAGCCGGGAAATTACAGGCCAGTCAGTCTGACATCAATACCGGGTAAATTGGTGGAAACCATTATTAAGGAAAGAATTAGTAGGCACATAGATTAACAAAACCTATTGAGGCAGACTCAGCATGGGTTCTGTAAGGGAAGATCTTGTCTCATTAACCTCTTAGTGTTCTTTGAGGGGGTGAACAAACATGTGGCTTCCAGAAAGCTTTTGATAAAGTTCCTCATCAAAGGCTCCTAAGTAAGCTCAAAAATCATGGGATAAAAGGACAAGTCCTTTTGCAACTCCTGGGTAAACCATGGGGCAAGCCTGGAGCGAGGGCGGAGAGGGCATCAGGGAGCGAACTCCTCGATGGCTGTCATGAGTTGACTATGCCAATTCCTCAACAGGCTCATCTAACAGGCCGCCAGGGAACACTGGATCCCGGAGAGCCATCTGAAGCCACATAGGGTCCATTTGGCTCCGCAGGCAAACAAAAATAGGCTCCCCGCCCAAACAGAGTCAGAGTGAAACCATCAGACAGGTCCGACCATGGCACTGCCAAAGCAGTAATCTGGTCCACTGTAACCCCCACCACGAAGATCAGATCAAGCGTGTGCCCAGCTCGGTGAGTGGGAGTCGTTACAATTTGAGAGAGTCCCAGTGCCGCTATGGACGATACTAGGTCCATTGCCTGAGTAGAGGCCACATCATCAGCATGGACATTGAAATCACCCAGGACTATCAGTCTAGGGTGTTCCAATTCCCACCCCCATACGGCCTTCACCAGGGATGGTAGGCTATAGGCCGGTGCGTTGTGTGGTCAGTACACCAGCCAAATTGCCATGCTCTCCCTGGCTTCCCACACTAAGCTGACACCCTCTATGCCTGTGATCCTCAGCAGTGGGAGCGCCCTGAAGTAGTAAGCCTCCCGAATGAATAGAGCCACTCCTCCCCCCCAGTCTGTGATTGGTGAAGGACCGAGAACCTGGGTAGGTGACATAGATGTCATCAGGGGCTTTGGGCCATATGACATGCCCCTGGAGACCACATGTGCCCCATGGGCCATATGATCTGCACCCAGATGCAGATGTTAAGGCAACAGCGGGGATACAGACTAACCCTAAAGTAGATATTGCATGGCTTTGTAAATGTGTTAGCTGTCCACAGTAAGTGCATATGGTGTAACTGAAATTAGTGTTAGAAAAAGCCCAGACAACTGGGTGCCTAAACATTTCGTGCTGGTACCTACGACTGATTCTATGACATTACCACCAACTAGACAATTAGCACCACTATTTTGCACAAAGCAACATGTCTCAAATTAAAGAAAAGGCTAAAGCACCCCCCCCCGCACAAGTCTAGAAGGAAAAAGTTAAGAATCAGTGTGGTCATACAAAGGTGAGCAACAACCGGCGTATCCATTCCATAAACATAGCAACCAGTGGGTTTTTCTTTGTTTGTTTTACGGTCACGTCACAACTGATTTACGGAGACCCTGTAGGGTTTTCAAAGGTAAGAGACCTTCAGGGGTGCCTTGTCACTGCCTGCCTCCACATCACTTGGTATTCCTTGGAGGTCTCCCATCCAAATACTAGCCAGGGCTGACCCTACTTAGCTTCTGTGATCTCACAGGATTGGGCTAGCTTGGGCTATCCGGGTTAGGCCAGCTAGTGGAAGGCAGTCCATAAATCTCAGATATTTTTCCAGTGCTGACTAAAACGAGGGAGCCAGTTTGGTGAAGTGGTTATGAATGGCAGACTCTAATCTGAGGAACTGGGTTTGATTCCCCAGTCCTCCACATGTAGCCAGCTGGGTGACCTTGGGTCAGTCCCAGTTCTCTGAGAGCTGTTCTCTCAGAGCTCTCTCAGCCCCACCTACCTCACAGGTTATCTGTTGTGGGGAGAGGAATGGAAGGAGATTGTAAACTGCTCTGAGACTCCAAGTGAAGGGCGGGATATAAATCCAACTTTTCCTCCTACAAAGTCCCCCCCCCCATCTACACTCCCAGCAGAATTATGGTATTCTCAAGAATAGCTGATAGAAAAATAAATTTTCCTATTAAACCCCCAGCTCTCTAGAACTTTCATTTTTTATTATTTGTAATTTTTATTCAAAAATTTGCATGACAGTACAGAGAATTCAATGCAATAACTTTGTACAATATAAAATGTATGCTTCTGAAAAGGTTTCAATAAATAGTGATATGTTGATATATATATTTTAGTTAACAGTTGAGTTAGCTTCTTTAGGATTTTCTTTCTAAGCCTGAGGAACTATCTGCTCTCTAACCAACACCTGATTTTCTGCACTTTGCTCATAGGTTAAGTTACAGAGGACAACAAGATGGATACTTCAAAACCAGGGAATGCCGTAGATTTCACTCCTTCACATTTTCAAGAGTTGGTAAAGTGGCTTCCATATAATAGAGCTGTACACATAAAAATGGACAACATCATCAACATATTACCTCCAGATATAAGTCTGTGTTTGCAAGAATATCTGTGATGACATTACTGGCTAGGGCTTCACATGAAGCCAACAAGCACTGTTATATTATGTTGACTATTGCTGATTTATATGACTCAGTAATCACTCCATATGGAATTGTACACTATTGGCATTTTACATGATCACTACTAGTGTGCCTGATTGCTGCATGAGATTCATAGGCATACTAATTTCCTTTTGTTGTTCAGTCGCACAGTCGAGTCCGACTCTTCGCGACCCCATGGACCAGGTCACGCCAGGCCCTCCTGTCTTCCGCCGTCCTCTGAAGTTGGCTCAATTTCATGTTCGTTGCATCGATGACACTGTCTAACCATCTCATCCTTTGCCGTCCCCGTCTTCTTTGACCTTCAATCTTTCCCAGCATCAGGGTCT